ACACACCCAACTGCTTCAAGAAGATACCAACAAGATAGTGTTGGGCAAGAAGCAAAAGGAAACTCAGCTTACCGTTGTTCTTCCTCAAGTTCTTCTTTGGTCATCATTGACTTGTACTGGTTTCCCCTCAGCTTTCCAGGACTGTACTTAAAGGAGAATGTTTCATCTGCAGCTGGAGAGCGAGAGAGAAAGAGAGGGAGAGACAAAGAGGAGCAGGAGCTCATGTAAGCCAGAAAGCAGGCACTGCAGAGCAATGACAAACAGCAATGGGCTCGCTCCCTTGAGCTGCTTGCTGACCCCTCCTCCCAAGCATGCACCCCAAATGCTATGCCATCCCAGCAGACTCTGTCACAGTTGGCTGCGGAGTCTCCTGGCGACCAAGGCATTTGCTGGCTTTAGAGGACTGGAGCAGGAGTCCTGGCTGCAGCTAGCATTGGAAACCACCGAGGCTGTAGAAACTTTACTGGTGTGAGGACTGCTATGCATGACGAGCTCTGGACACAGATACAAGTAAATCCTAAAGCACAGGAATCATATGCTATTGCTCCGCCTGGATTCAGAGCCTTGCAAGTCCATCTTGGCTTATCAAGACATGCTAATCCTGGCCTGATTAGCTTGCAGCTTTTACCGCTCCAGACCTGCATTCCTCCTCTCTCCTCCTCCTCGTCCAGGGGCCCTTTGCTATGCTGTGGGGTCACAGATGGTGCTACAAGCAGAACTGCCATAAGCAACACAGCCCCCGTCAGCTCCATCAGCTCTCCTGCAGCCTGACCTTTCAAATCACAGCCTTTGTCAAAACCTGTAAAGAAAGGAGGTTGCCATGCTGCAAATCCTGAGACTGCAAACAGAGCTGAGCCAAGGCCACCCTGACAGCACCAACCACAGCTGTGCCCAAGTCTGCCACAGCTGACAGGCCCAAAGAGGAACAGGCCTCTTTCTTCTGGCCCGGGTGCTCTCTTCCACGTTCCCACCCACCCTGGACTCTTCAGCCTCAGCCCTGTGCTAATTAGAGTGCTGAAGCTCATGGACTTTGAGCCAAAGCCGATCCTTTTCCAATCGGATTTCGTTACAGCACTATTTGCTTTTAAGAACCTCTCCTCTGGTTTATCTTCTTGCAGATGGGCAGGAAACAACAGGAGTGGAGGTCAACCCAAAGGGCAGCCCGGGAAGAGCGGACGTTTTTAGTTGCCTTTACTGGTTATCTGTGGTCTGTTTATCTATGCACCTTTATCTCCCAAGGACTGAAGGACTGGGCTGCCTTATGTTGAGCCATCTAGCATTGCTGTTTCCACATCCACACAGAAACATCTGCTGTTTCCACAGAGTCTATAGATCCGAGGAGCCTAGTGACTACTTCCAAGGGGTCCACAAAAAGCGAACGGTATCTTACTATCTGCATGTCCCTAAACAGTTGTGTGTTATCCACAAATCAAATGCCTGATGACACCTGCAGGCACCAACAAGACCCCAAAGGTGGTCTTCTGTCTTCTACGTCAGGAGAAAAAGCTCCAACTTGTGCATAACCTATGGACCCATCCTCTGTCCCAAACCACCTGAGAAGACCCTTCCAGGCCACACACCACAGCTATTGCAGGCACCACGTCCATGGATGTCTCTGCTGCTCCACCTGCCCTCATGAAAAATGCGCCACAGCCTCTCTCGTTCTCCTCTTCTCACGTCCAGAAGGACTCAGCATCAGTTACTTCCCTTTATTTTCCTGCCCACACTGTCCTTAAGGATTTTTCTCCCTCTCTCAAGGGTTAACCATTTGATTTAGAGACTTCTTCAACCCCAAGCTCATGCACATAAAGCTGCAGCCAAAACTTTACAGACCTAGGGGATTCCCATGCAATCAGCAAGTTAGAGCCCCATTTTGTAGATGGGGAAATCTGAGATCTTGAAAACAAGTTGCGAAGGCTGCACAGCCAGGTACAGGACCGGGGCGTCCCAGGCGCTGCAGGTCATTGCCGCTAGAGTCCGAGGAAGTGAGTCAACGTACAGAGCGTGCCTGGTGTCCAGCATGACACGATGTTAGCGAGTTGTGAGCAGTTAAGGGTGGAGATTTCACAGAAGTCTCCTCCCTGCAGCTATCGATGTTTCCTCCCTTCTTCTCCACATCTCCCGTGCATCACTGGTCCTGGGGAGCTTTCCTGTGAAGTCCTAATGGATCAGCTACTGACCTGGAGCATTTCTCTAATCCCAAAACATTGTTTGGCCTCCTAGGGGAAAAACAAGGCCAGCCCTTTCCCCAACGCCTTTAAAGTGTCCAAATGCGAGCACCCCAGTGCTTTGACCCTGCAGCCCTGAACACTCAGATTGGCCATATCCCACTTCCCTCAGTGGAAAAACCCTCTGTTCCAGCAAACAAACAAGTCTGGCCAGCTGGAAATAAGCAGTAATGTTGCAGTTTATCAGCCCCGCAGGGTGGCTGTAAAAGTGCACTGAAAGAAAATTCAGCTGGCTGCTGCTTTGGGAGATATTAAGAGGAAAAAAAAAAAAGAGGGTGTAACATCCTGTTTCTTACCCTGATGCAGACCAGGAGCCATTTTATTACCTTTGTATAGCTTTCCTGATTTCAGGGACAATTAAGATTGTTTCCCTCATATGGTTTTCTGCCAAGTGAATTGAGATTTGGGATTTTGCCTGTCCAAAAAAGGGCAGTTTAATTGCCACTCCACCAGAAAAGAATAAATGAAGAGGGAGGAGAGAAGGCTACCTATCTCACTGCCCACGTACTGCAGTTAAAAAGGAGCCAGCATGTGGCTTTTAAAACCACTGGCTGTTTTTTGAGCTCAGGAACTTTCTCTGTAGACTGAAAACAAATGGAAAATGGGAGGCAGCATTTTCACATAGACTACAAAAACACTGCAGAAATATGAGGTGACCTACTTATTCAGACCCTCAGCGAGTTTAATATTAAAGAAAACATTTGTCTTTCATCTTTCTTCCCTTGCATTGCAAGTGCCTGACCCCGAGCTCGCAGGGCAACATGTGAGCAGGCAGAGTCTCAAAGGGAGAAAGCGCCCTTTGGAGCTCGCCTCTGCCCGCACGCGTGCTCCAGCACACCCTGGCAGCACAGAGAATACCTGCCACCTCCCCACCAATTCCCATGCAAGCCTTGTTGCCCAAAAAGTGGGGAGAAGTCTGCTTTTGTGGTTTGGCCGTAGCAGCAGCATCCAGGATGCCTGGGCTCCGCTCCTGGCACAGTAACAGACTGCCTGCCTGGCTGATCATCGAAACCTGCGTGTGAGCAGGAGGGGAATATGTGCTCACGGATTTCCACAGATGCATATCTGCGGCGGTGAGAGGTCCTTACCGGGTTAGGACCTGAGCAATGTATAGGAGACGTGGTAGAGGAAGGTCAGAGGTTGCCCCCTCGCAAACCCAGGGGCGCTGTGGTTATTACCAGCAGCACACAGCTCGCCACCTCAGCGTCAGCCTGAGGCATCGTTTTATCCAGTCCTACCGAAACACCTAAGAAACGCTCTAAATAATTTAGGAGAGGAATCGGTGGTTGTCTGCAGCAGGTGCATAGGGAAGACTCGGGGCTAGCCACAACCCATGGCCAAGGCTGTCAGCGCAGCCTGAACCGCAGCCGCATCAGGATGATGCGCAGTGGTGCTGTAGCAGTCCCAGAAACCGGCTTTGCCAGGAGCTGAGCAGCCCCCAGGCCACCCCCCTGAGCTCCTCTTGTCTTACGCTCACGTCTCCAAAATGGGACAGGCGCTCCCCCAACCTCGTGGGCACGGCACCAGGATTAAAGTTTGTTTCTCTGCAGTATTAGGCGTAATCCTCCTGAGCCAGGGGATTGCCACGCGGCGTCTTAAAAAGGGCAGGCGGAAAGTGGGACAGGGAAGGGGGAACGCCCCAAGCTCCTGCTGCCCCGTCTCCCTGCAGCCACCCCGAGGCAGGGGCTCTCTGGGATGTCCCAGCATCTCTGAGGCTGCTTGGGAGGGCAGAACCCCCTTTGGACACACTTTTGCTTGTCACCATCTGTTTCATTTTCTTACAAGCACAATCGTCATCCCAATTAGTCAATTAATCATTTTCCAATCAAGTAATTGACTAATCAGTTAAACACGGCTCTGGCTAAAGCCTCTAGAGATCTTCCTGGATGCAAGCAAGGAGCTTTTTGGGCAGCTTCATCATAAAGCCAAGCCAAAAGCCTTCCCCATGGCAAACGGCCCAGGGACATCTGGCAGAATGCAGGGGGGAAGCAAAAAGGGGCTGCTTTTGGGGAAGGAAGACGAGGAAGAGCTGCCCCAGGTGTGGGGCACGGGGCTGACGTGCCATGAAGCACCCTGAAGGATGTGGAAAGCGGGGTAGGGTCTGCCGAGTGAATCTGGCCCTCGCCCACCCCAGCTCTGGGCTCCTGGCCGGGTCCCTGCCTCAGCCCCCCCCCGGGGCTGCCAGGCTGCTGACGCTGGCACCTCTGCACCTCGCTGGCATGGGGAGCACCCGAATCAACCGTTCCACTGGCGGGGGGAGGCGGGGGCCCCGCCGCGGCCG